ACTCGGTGGAAACAATAAGGCAATTGCGACCGATTAGTCTCTGCCAGTTTGTTTACAAGGTGATTACTAAAATCATGGCTGAACGACTGGCTAGCTTGCTCCCTCAGATCATTTCGGAGGGGCAAAATGGTTTTATCAGAGACCGGCAGATTATTGATAACATCCTTATAGGACATTGATTAATGCACTATCTGAAGATAAAAAAGCAAGGGAAGAAGGGGTACATGGCTCTGAAGGTTGACATGGAAAAGGCCTATGATAGAGTCGAATGACCCTTCCTTCTTGTAGTTTTGGATAAGATGGGTTTTAATTCGGTCTGGCAGGGATGGATTCATGAATGTCTCCGATCCTCCTCTTTTTCGGTTCTGATGAACGGCACTCCCTCAGGTTATTTTACTGCCTCTAGGGGCCTTTGCCAGGGGGATCCGCTCTTGCCTCTCTTGTTTGTGCTCTGCACGGAGGGTTTTGCAGCCCTTCTCCGGAAGGCGATCACAGAGAATAAGTTAGAGGGAGTGAAAGTAGCGCCCCGGGCCCCTCGAGTCTCGCACTTGTTCTTCGCAGATGATTCTTACCTTTTCTTGCGAGGGTCTCTTCAGGAGTGCGAGAATTTAATTGAGGTGCTAAATGAGTATGAGGAGTTGAGTGGCCAACGCGTTAACTTAGCGAAATCAGCGGTGTGTTTTAGCAAGAATATCTCCACGCCCGATCAGGAATTTTTGGCAACAATCCTAGGGGTTGGTGTTGTGGGAGTTCATGAAAAATATCTGGGACTTCCCACGCTGGTCGCTCGATCCAAAATGGCTACCTTCAGATATTTGGAGGATAAACTCTTAGAGAGACTTTTAGGGTGGAAGCAAAGGACATTATCGTGGGCTGCGAAGGAAACTTTGATTAAATCCATCGCATTGGCCCTGCCCCTGCATGTTATGTCCTGTTTTCGGCTTCCCCTAGCTCTTTGTCGGCTTCTTGATAAGCATGTGGCCCACTTTTGGTGGGGTGCTGAAGATGGCAGTCCCAAGATTAGATGGGTATCCTGGCGTAACATGTGCAGAAGTAAGCATGAGGGGGGATGGGATTTTGCCAGTTTGAACATTTCAATCAAGCTCTTCTGGCTAAGATAGGTTGGCGTATCCTTAGTGAACCTCAGTCGCTTATTGCCCAGATTTATAAAGGCAAGTACTTCCCTCAAGGATCCTTTCTGACCGCGGCTGCTAGGTCTCGTCCCTCTTGGGGGTGGCAGAGTATCCTTCATGGACTTCAGTTATTGGAGATGGGATTAAGATGGCAAGTTGGCAATGGAAAGTCGATATCCCTCCTTCATTCGAACTGGATCCCTCAGTTCCAACTAGATCCCTCTTGCTATAATCCGCGGGTTTTGCCTGAAGGGGTTGACCCTTTGGTGGCCGAGGTTATTTGTCAGGGGGAAGGAAGGTGGTCTGATGAGAAGCTCCGTCAGTGGTTTGACCCGCACACCTGTAGGGCTATCAAAGCTATTCCGCTTCCAAGGTGGGAGGTGCCTGATAAAATTATCTGGCATTTTACGGCTGACGGGGTTTTCTCGGTAAAGTCGGCTTATCATTTGGCTGTAGATTTGGACAGGAGGAGGGGTGGGTGGCGATCCTCGTTTTGCTGGATGGATAAACCAAGTTGGGTAAGAGTGTGGGAGGCGAAGATCCCTCTGAAGTTGAAGGTTTTTGTATGGTAAATCCTTAATCGGGCTCTGCCAACTATGGAGAGGCTTATTGAGAAGAAGGTTCAGGTACTTCCCCGGTGTCCAGTTTGTTGGGATGGCCCGGAGACTATGGAACATTTTTTCCTGTACTGTACGGTTGCGCGGGCTCTCTGGGACTACTCAGAGCTGAAATACCTAGGGGAGGGTTTGCCTCGGCACACTTTTCCTTTGTTTCTCAAGCGTTTGTTGGTTCTGATTTCTCAACCGTCCGTGGTTATGGCAGTTGTTGCCGTCCTTTGGAGGATCTGGCGTTCTCGAAATTGGGTTGTTATTTAGGGCAAACAATTCGGGATTCCGGCGCTCATACGCCAGTTTCACCAACAGTATGAGGAATGGGTGTCTCTACCAGTGGATCAGGTTCCGAGGATGACTGTCCCGATGATGCAACCAGCAGCGCAATCGGGTGATTCCCAGTTGGTTTGCATGTGGGACGGGGCTACGAAGGGTGGGTCGCATTCGGCTGGTGGGATGGTTCTTCTTGACCCAGCGCGAACACTCCTTCTGGCTAGAGGGGTACAGTTTCCTCAAGTGGATGACCCGGTGATGGTAGAATTGCTTGTGCTTAGAGAAGCTATTGTTTGGTGTATGGAGCAAGGATTGGCGGAGGTCCGGTTTGAGGGCGATGAAAAGGTCATTATTGACAAAATTAATCAAGCCAACATGAGAGATAGCCGGTTGGGTGCTGTTCTAGAAGAGATTGGTCATTACTTTCGTACACATTCTGGTTTTAGTGTGCGTTTTGTAGGTCGAGATAACAATAGGGTATCTCATTTGGTAGCTAGGAAAGCCCTTTCATTATATCCGACTATGAGTCGCTTCTTTGATTTCCAGTCCTGGCTGGTTTCCAGGGTGTAATTGTCTATGTTTGATCAATACAAGATATCTTTTGGCAAATTTTTTTTTTGAAACTTTAGCATTCACAAGGAAGTACCGAAAACTTAAATTGAAACTTTTAAGTCGAGTTTTTGTTTTTTGGAAGTAGTGGTTGAATGAATTCAAATGCGATTAACAAATCAATGGAGGCTCAGATCCGCCATTGTACTCCAATGAAGGAGAGGAAGATCCTCCACGTTCATGGCTGCGAAACAATTGGTTGCCAGCGGGAATCAGATGTCCCGTAAGATGGAATCGGCGGCTCCGCCGGGAGCTCGCCGAAGTTAGAATCAATCAAATGTCATATCATTGCCTCGTGTTTAGAGAGAGAGAGAGAGAGCGAGAAGCGAGAGACAGAACCAAACAAAAAGGAAAGGAATGAAAGAGGAACGAGAGCTAGCTAAAGCTGTGATTCCAGTAACCAAGTTACAATCACACACAAACACAATACAATCAGAACAACAGCGGCGGCCGACAATCGGCTGATGGGCGGGACGCCACAAGGAGGTAGGGATTAGGGAAATTGGAGTTAGGGGGGTATAAATGTCAATTTAGTATGGTTTAGGGCGAAATTTTTTAAAATTTAGGGAACAAATAGCGATTCAGTTTATAGAGGGTTGTCATTTTCAAAATGATCACTCCACTTATTAACTATTAGTCTATTACACTGTGATCCTATTCATTACAATCTTCACTCCTTCAAAACAGGCTTGTCCTCAAGCCTATTGAAAACAGACAACTTTGGAGCCTCAACTTTAATGCTGGTTGATACCATGGACATTTCATCTCCATCCAAATCCGTCTCACGCTCAAATACCCAATTCACAGCAGCTTTAAGACTGGTATTACCAGAAAAATGAAGTTCCCTAGTTGCCCATGTTGTTTGGAAACCCTCGCAGCAGCTTTAAGACTGGTATTACCAGAAAAATGAAGTGCCCTAGTTGCCCATGTTGTTTGGAAACCCATTCCTTCCGGTTCTTCAACAAGCTGCTGAAGACGGATGCTAAAGTGTTCTTGTAGCAGGCTCTTGATTTTCATCACCAGATCAACACTGCAATCAATGTAGGCAAGTACCCCACAACATCAACCATTATGAAATTCCCAAACAAACTCCTTGAACCGCAGAGTGTCACCCGTGTCCCAAAATACAACAAAATCAAAGGAAAAACTCAAACAAGTACAACAACCAGAGATTGTAGTTTTCCCTATTCTTGGAGGATAATACACCAACCAACCAATGTAGAAAAACAACAAATTCCAATTAAACAACTCTCCAATAGAAGTATAGAACTGCCCTCCAAGACCAGGACATAGTCCTTGTAAGGTTCCTTGATGTTAAGACAAACATCCCTTAGTTCAAACTTCACCCAAGGACACCAATATCAATGATTGCCCATCAATGCCAAACTTTCAGTTTCCACTAGAAAATTACCAATGTGCAGAGCTGGACTTGCTACCACAACCACCACCTAGGATGAAATGATCTCATTCTTGCCTTCCCAAAAACCCAACAAGTTATTGGAGATTGTTTTCAAATTTACGGGATGTGTTAAAGTTTACTCTTTTACACCTCACTCTTATGTTTATGCTTTTACCTATCATTTCGCTTTTATACAAAAGTTAGACTTTGAATTTATTAACCTTGAGTAGAGGTGGCAATTTGAATCCAGTAACCAATTCATCCACCAATAAATTAACTAATTGAATCCATTTCATTAAAATCCAATTAGATTGGTGGATTTATGGATTGTTGGAAAATTATAGTTTAGTATCTATACTTTTTATACTTTACAATATAGTATCTCAATTACAATTGTAGAACGAGAAGTATTGAAAACTATTATTCAATAATTACATTTGACACCTAATTTTTTTATAGTGACATTTTAAGACCTGAAAATTTTAAAATTTAAATGACATTTGGACTCGCGAATCCATAGATCCAATATATAAATTAAATGAATTTCTTTAATATAATTTATAAATCTATCAATCCACTAATCTAATCTATCACACCGGAAATTAAATCCATTTCTCACCTCTAACAATGAGTAATGTGGAAAAAGATGATCATTAAACGGATATGTGCTTAAGATGGCACAATTGTTAGCTACTCAAAGCCAAATAGCCATGAAACAAAATCACATTGCTGCTTAGTTTAGTTTTTTCTACAGGGAATTATCTTTACAAACTACATCGAATTAGAGCCTATTAATTTTTTGTTAAGAGTACAGAGAATCAAAATAGAAATCTTTTGAGAACCAATGAGCTGTCCAAGCACTTGCTGACGGACAAGTTGTATACTTAGAAGTTAGAACACATGTCCAAAAATTGGAGCTCAAGTTGCACTCAATACAAGTAAAAGTGCCAACTTGACTCAATAGTCAATACTAATCCTAACAGAGTACTACAGTACAAAATTAGGAATCTGGTATTCTTACAACACCAAGATGCCTTCCTGATTGCGAATTTGTCTAAACAAGTTCAAAAGTCCTTTTCTTTCAGAAAAATTTCCCCCTATATTAAGATTTCCCTCTTGCTCTGTTTCTGCAACGAAAGCTACAGAAAAACAGAGCAATGGTTCACGAAAGAAAAAAGGAGGTGTTCTCCAGGGAGATTATCAGACCATCTTCCCCAACTCCAGATCGAAAAAGGATTCACAAGCTTTCATTTTTCGACCAATTGTCTCCTCCAATCTACCTCCCGCTTCTCTACTTCTACCCAAATCAAGATCCCCAGACGCCATTCGCTTCAAAAACCCAATTGCTCAAAACCTCCCTCTCTTCAGCTCTTTCCAAATACTATCCACTTGCCGGAAGGATCAGAGATTCATTCACGGTCGACTGCAACGACGAAGGAGCCGTCTTTCTCGAGGCGCGAATGAATTCCAAGCTCGCCGAGATCCTCGAGGATTCTCCAGTGGATGAAACCCTGAAGCTCTGTTTCCCAGATGGGCTCTGTTACCAAAATTCCAACCTCAGCAGCCCGTTGACCGTTCAGGTAACTGGATTCGACTGCGGAGGAATGGCGCTGGCCGTTTGCTTGTCTCACACGATCATCGACGTCTCGGGTATGTGTTCCTTCGTCAACTACTGGGCTGCTCTGGCTTCCAATTCCGCCATCGAAGATGGCGGCGGCGTTCCTCCCCTGCATCTGGAGTTCAATTTGGCAGAGCTGTACCCGCCGATTGACCTTCCGGTGACGAAAACCTTTGACCCTGTGATCATCAGGTGTGTAAGTCGAAGGCTTGTGTTCGATGGTTCGAATATCGGGAAACTAAAAGGTATCGTTGCAGCAGGGAACGTGGTCGTGGAGAATCCCACTAGGATGGAAGTAGTTCTTGCAATTCTTCACTGCTCTGCCATCTTTGCTATCAGGGTCTGTTCTGGCAGTCTGATTGCCGACACCGAACTGCATTCTGCAGTGAATTTGAGGAGCAGGGTGGTGCCGCCGGTGCCAGCGAGCTCCGTCGGGAACATGGCTTCGACATTTGTGGTGTTCACCCCAAAGGATGTAGACACAGAACTGGTTTCGTTTGCTGGAATGATCAGGGAGGCGAAGGTCGAGAATTTCAGGTCCTGCGCTTCACGATCGCGAGGTGAAGAGCTGTGCCCTTTCGTCGTCGAGACGACGAAAGGGTTCAGAGGAGAACAGGGGAGTGATGGAGCAGGGAGTCGGCGGCATGTGTTTGGTTGCAGCAGCTGGTGCGGGTTTCCATTCTATGAAGCGGATTTTGGGTGGGGGAAACCGGTTTGGGTTACGCATACTTTTGCAGGGGCGAAGGACATCATCACCATGATGGATACTCGAAATGGAGATGGGATCGAAGTAACTGTGTGTTTGGAAGGAGGAGTCATGGCTGCGTTTGAGACTGATGAAAAGCTTCTTTCCTTCTGCACGATCAATCCAGGCGTGATTTGGTAAGAATCATTTGTGGCGTGGGCTTGGGCAATATGTGTTCCCTCCTTCAAATTCAACCATTTGATCGAGTCGCACAAACTTTTAATTTATTTAGCCTTAAATCCATATATCGTTATATATATATATCGTTGAATTTAACGTATTTTATAGATTACAATGTTAATTGTGTTTTCAATAGGTAAATAGGAATGTGACAGTTTACTGGAAATGTCACTTATATCCCTTCTTCTCAAATGCAAAATGTAATATCTAAAGGTTACGTTTATGAGAAATTTTACAATGATATATAGTATTGGTGCTATAGGGGTTTGCCTTTATGGTACAACTTAAAATTGTACATTTACGTTATGGTACAACTTCAGATTGTACCTATACTTTTTGTACAAATTCTTTTATGGTACAAATTGAACTTGTACCTTTATGTGATGCTACAACTTCAAGTTGTAAAGTTGTACCATAACATAATGGTACAAATTGCTTTATGGTACAACCTAAACTTATACATTTAATGTTATGGTACAACTTTAAGTTGTACCATACCAATGCTCTGTGCTAACTCCTCTGTGATGGCGACTGCGACATCGACAACTACGCCGACGGGCCGACCCCCGGACATGGATCTGCCGTCCGCCTCTGCTGAGCGTGAAGCAGGGGGTGTAGTCACACCTTCGGACATAGCTACAGAGATGATGGTGAATAATGGTCAGGCGGAAGAGGATCTCCCGGGCAGTAAAGTGCCTGTGGACTCCGGCGGAGCTACCACCAGATCAGGGAACTCTTCACTATTGAATCCGACGGGTAACCCCGGCGGGAAAGCTCTGGGATCTTATGCGAAAGCTGTGACGGGGGAAAGCGATGTTCCAAGGCCTCTGACAGCTCAATGGATTCCGGTGGGAGAAAGAGACCTGATTCTAGGTTCCTTCAACGAGGAACCAGAGCTCCAATTATCGGAGAATTTCAAGAATAAGCTCAGTGCGCCGTGGCAACATACATTGGTGGTACGACTGCTTGGCCGATCAATTGGTTATGCTACCCTCTGCAATAGAATCCGATTCCTATGGCGCCCAACGGCGGGATTTGAGGTTTTCGCTTTGGATCAGGATTGCTTCCTGGTGAAGCTTGAAAGTGATTTGGATTATTTTAAAGCCCTTACAGAAGGACCATGGGTGATCTATGATCATTATCTGGTTGTGCAACAGTGGACTCCTTCGCTTCGTGTTACAGATAAACTCCCAAGTACCATGGTTGTCTGGGTTCAGTTCCTGGGCTTCCCTGTTCATTTCTATCACAAAGAGCTCCTCTTCGCGCTGGGGAACATGATCGGAAGGGCAATCAAACTTGATTTTCACACGGCTAATCAACAAAGAGCAAGATTTGCTCGTATGGCGGTGGAGGTAGATCTTTCTAAACCTTTGGTCCCCCGGATAAGATTAGATGGCAAGTGGCAGAAGGTCGAATTCGAGAATCTCCCCGTGGTTTGCTTTGAATGTGGCAAAATTGGGCATACCAAGCTGAATTGCCCGGCTCTCTCCCAAGCTCTCTCCGTCGCTACGCTCTCCGGTACGCCCTCACCGCCGCCGGGCGCCGTGGAATCATCGGAAGACTCTGCTGGCTTCGGCCCGTGGATGTTGGTATCAAGGAAATCGCGCCGCAATTCTCGCGATCCCCCAAAACAAGGTAAGGCGGAGGCAATTTTGGTAAGCCCCAACGGAAAAGAAAGGGCCAAATCTGGGAAAGAAGAAGCGGCGACGAAGGACGTGAAGGGGGGAACATCGCCTCAATTGGCTGGGAAGATTCAGGGGAAAGAATTTAATGTTCGTGGCTCCAATTCAGGGAAACCCAAGGAGAAAGTACAGGGGGATAAAAGCAAAGAAAGAAAAGGGAAAGAGGTTAGGGACTCGGCCGAAATTGGCCTCCTTGGGCCTAAACCCAAATCTCTTGTAATTGGGCAGCCCAATCCCATCCTCAACAAGAAGGCTAATGAGGCCTCCACTTCTAGACAAAGCCCAAGGCCAGTTGATGGAGCCCGCCCCAATGAAAATGACTAGAGTTAAGAAACGAGCTTCTCTAAGAAAATGAATGGGGTCAACATTCAAATTGTAGAAGTCAAACCATATGAGCAGCCGTTTCCTCGTATCGTCGACCCATCCTTGTCGTCGACGGTGTCGAGAACTAAACAAAAGAAGGAAAAAAAGAAAGGACAGGCAAGCAAGAACTCGACCCCTATGAAATTGAGTCCTCTCCGCCACAACCCCAAAAAGACGTTGCAGTATTGGTCTCCGATCAAAGACAAAAGGAGCAAAAACAAGGAGCGGCGGGTGGCTCTGACCTTGCAGCAGATAAGCGAGTGGACCGGAAATTCTTGTTCGGAAAAAGAGCAGAAAGACAACGCGACGGTAATCGGTGAGGCGACGGAGTCGGCGGTGGCTGATCTCGTTATTGTCGACCAGCATCATGATGTCCCCCGGTGAACTCCTTCCTCTTTGCCTGGCTTTCGTCCTTCTTTCCTTCGTTTTTCTTGTCTTTCGCCTTTCTCTTTACCTCGCTTTGTTTTTAATGTCTGGTTATAATAGGTATAATTTCAAAATCTTATCGTGGAATGTCGGGGGTGCCGGAGGGAATTCCTTCTCGCGCTCCCTGAAGCTTGTGTTGCAGATGCATAAACCGGACTTCGTCATTCTCCTTGAACCCCAAGTTAGTGGAGGGCGGCGAATGTGGTCTGTGAGAAGCTGGGCTTTCCCGATGTTCTTCGCATTGAAGCTCAGGGGCGGAGTGGGGGAATCTGGCTCTTTTGGAATTCTCATAATTTTTCGGTGCAGGTTGTCACGGCAGGGCCTCAACATCTCTCCGTGAGAATTTCAGAAGGTAATCAGGACTCGTGGATGCTGACAGCTGTGTATGCCTCTCCCCGGCAGTATCTTCAACGCCTTCTATGGAGTGATATCATCGAGCAAAGCAAGCGAGTGGACTGCCCGTGGGTTCTCACCGGCGATTTTAACGCAATTCTCCATCCGGATGAGAAAACAGGACCTCCCTCGCCGGCTACTTTTCGCAGATGTAAGCGGTTCGGGGATTTCATTAATGAAGCGGAGCTGGTGGACCTCGGCTTCTCTGGTCCTCGGTTCACCTGGTCTAGGGGGAAGGAGAATGCTACCTACAAAGCTAGCAGGATCGACAGAAGCCTATGCAACTTGGAGTGGAATGAGGGGTTCCCAAATACGTCTGTGAGCCACTTAGCACGCATGAGCTCTGATCATCACCCGATTCTTACAACAGTGTCTAATCAGGGAGCCTCTAACCTTTCCACTAAACGTTTCAAGTTTGAGGCGGCCTGGTTCACCCATGAGGATTTTTTACCCTTTCTTGCTAATTCTTGGAACTCTCAGAATGTGTTGCCTATGGCCTTGCAGGATCTCTCCAAGAAGCTCCAGCTTTGGAATACCTCGATCTTTGGGAATGTTTTCCAAAGGAAGAAGAGGCTGGTGGCTAGGATTGAAGGGATAGACCATCGTCTGGCAAACTGTTTCTCCCCGGGCCTCCTCAAGCTGCGCACTAAGCTGGAGAAGGATCTTGACAAGACTATGGAGCAGGAGGAGCTTATCTGGTTCCAAAGAGCTAGGGAGCACTGGGTGAAATTCGGGGAACGGAACACAGCCTATTTCCATCAACTGGCAAACATTAGACGGCGGAGGAATAAGATCGACTGTCTCAAAGATATTAATGGGGAATGGGTTAGCGAGAAGGATGAATTATTAAAACTTATTTATAATTTTTTCTCTGAGCTTTATTTGCAGGATAATTCGCCCTATGTTGACCTTCTCCCCAAAGGATGTTTTCCGCGGCTGAACCAAGAGGATTGGCTCCGTGTTCTCCGGCCTTTCAACATCCTCGACATCCACAAAGCTGTATTCGAGATGAAACCGCTTCAAGCTCCCGGACCTGATGGCTTTCAAGCCTTGTTTTACCAGAAAGCTTGGGCGGTGGTGGGGAAAGCGCTCACTGACATGGCCCTTTTCTTTTTTGAGCAGGGGACGTTGCCGGAAGCGGTCACAGAATCCACAGTAGTCCTCATTCCTAAAGTGGACAAACCTGAGTCGGTTACCCAGCTTCGCCCGATCTCTCTCAACAACGTCAGCCTCAAAGCTATCACGAAGGCCCTTACCAGTCGATTGAAGGAGGTTATGGGAAAGCTGGTCTCTCCGAGGCAAAGCAGCTTCATTCCGAGAAGGCAAAAGACCGACAACATCCTTGTTGTGCAAGAAGTGTTGCACTCTTTGCGGAAGAAGCGTGGGAAGAAGGGGGCATGGTAGTGAAGGTGGATCTCGAGAAGGCTTACGACAGGCTTCGGTGGGATTTTTTGAGGGACACCCTGATTGAAGTAGGGCTCCCGAGTTCGTGGATCCGGGGGATCATGTACTGTGTGGAACACAACAGGACACAGATTCTATGGAACGGGGAGCTCACGCCAGTCATCACTCCCACTCGGGGTGTTCGCTAGGGAGACCCTCTTTCTCCCTACCTTTTTGTTCTCTGCATGGAAAGGTTATCTCATAGAATCGACCAGGCCGTCCGGGATAAGCAATGGAAACCTATCCGTTTATCTCCGAGGGGGCCTGCCTTATCCCATTTATTTTTTGCAGATGATCTGGTGCTTTTTGCAGAGGCCGGGGGAAACCAGATAAGAGTTATAAGGGATTCCTTGGATGAGTTTTGTGCCAGTTCAGGACAACGGGTTAACTATGCCAAGTCTGTCTTGTATGTGTCGCCGAACATCAAACAGGACAGAGCTCATCGGCTTAGTGACAGGGCAGCCATACCGCTTGTAACTAACCTCGGGCGGTATCTGGGCATTCAAGCCATTCATGGGCGGGTCACGAAAAGCCGATACCAGCCGCTGATTCTGAGGATCCAAAAGAAGCTGGCCCCCTGGAAAGCCAGGAGACTATCCCTCGCCGCGAGAATTACGGTCACTCGTTCTGTCTCTCTTGCTATTCCCACTTATTCCATGCAATAAGAACTGATTCCTAAGAATGTCTGCAATGCCATAGATAAGATTAACAGGGATTTTATATGGGGAAAGGAGGATGACAAGGGCAAGATGCATATGGTGTCGTGGGAAAAGATGACTGGACCTAGGCTGCAGGGGGGTGGAGGACTTCGGCCACTCAGGCAGGCTAACCTCGCTCTTCTGGCAAAAGGAGGGTGGCGCATCCTCAAAGAAAAGGAGTCATTGTGGACACAGATCTTTAGTGCTAAGTATGGGAAACAGAGAGACGGCCTCGACATTTTCCGTCCTGTTCAGGGAAGTTCCTTTGCCTGGAGTAGCTTTACTAAAGCTTCTCACCTTCTCAGGAAAGGTTGTG